GGGATGACAGGCGTGAGCCACTGCACCCAGCCTAATTCCACTTCTAGGTATATATCCAAATAAAGGAAAAGCAGATATTTGTTGTATACCCATGTTCAGAGGTAGCGCTATTTGCAATAATCAAAAGGTAGAAGCAAGCCAGGTGCAGTGGCTCACACCTGTAATCCCAGCACTTCAGAAGGCCAAGGTGGGAGGATTGCTTGATCTCAGAGTTCGAGGCCAGGCTGGGCAACACAGTGAGATCTCATCTCCACAAGAAACAGAAAACCAGCCAGGCATGGTGGTGCATGCCTGTAGTCCCAGCTACTTGGGAGGCTGAGGCAGGAGGATCACTTGAAACTGGGAGGTTGAGGGTACAAGTGAGCTATGATGGCACCACTGCACTCCAGCCTGGGCAACAGAGAAACAACCTGTCACTAAAAAGAAAAAAAAAGGAAAAGAAACAAAAAGTCTTCCCCTGATCAGTGGTGGATGAAAGAAGAGGAGGTCAACAGGAGAAAATAATTACAAAGGGGCACAGAGAAACTTTTGAGAATGATTGATATGTGTTATTTTTATTGTAGTAATGATTTTTTGGGTGTAGACTTGAGTCAAAGTTTGTCAAACTGTACAATTAACCCTTTGCATTTGCATGTCCCATCTGAGAGACATCATAAATCTAGGAATCCACTTGGATGTCTCCTCTCAGGAGACATAGAGATTGCTGGTGATTATACAAGACAAGCTTAGGCAGGCACAAATTTTTCAAAATGTATGTTTCCTTGAAGTTATCCATTCAAATTACACAGAAAAGCAAATAAAGAGATGGAGTATATACTGAGATATGATCAATCAGTTGAGAAGTGGTTTCTAGGAATCACGAGTGCGTTCTTCCACATCTTCTCCAAACAACAGACTAGACAATAAATTACATATTATTAATGTGAGAGGAAGGATACAAGACTGCATAGTCTCCTCAAATAGAAGAACATCAGATGGAAGACATCAAACAAATTACCACTGCACAACATATATAAATGAATCTGCAATGCATGTTGGTGACTGTTTCACATATTAATCACATATTAGAAAAATATAAGATATAAAATTTTGATTTTCTCGTAATAAATAAGTTCCTCAATCTTCAAAACACCATTATAAGCCAAATATCATTACAATGAAATAATTGGTTCCAACACTATACTACTCAATATGAAGTGATTCATTTTTCACTATTTCGTAAAAAAGTGCAGTCCAGTTTCTGGTAGGTGATCTTTGAGATGTCTCCGAGTGCACAGTGTTAAATAAGTACGATTTATTGTATGTGAATTATTCCTCAATTAAAAAAAAAAACTAAATTAGAAACAAACAGAGTAAATGGAACAAAATACCCTTTAAAAATAAATCCTCTCTTGCTTACAATACTTCGAAGGCTCCCCTTTGCCTTCAGGATAAGTCTCTGCCTCCTCTCTTGCCACTTCCCATTAGTGTCCCTGGATCCAGTCATACAGATGTACTTACAGTTCATTGATGGTCTAGCAGTATTAGAACAAACTAATTTGGCCGGACTCAGTGGCTCAGCCTGTAATCCCAGCACTTTGGGAGGCCGAGGTGAGTGGATTGCCTGAGCCCGCGGGTTCGAGACCCACCTGGGCAACTTGACGAGACCTCATCTCTACAACAAATCAAAAATTAGCCGGGCGTGGTGGCACGCACCTGTAGTTCCAGCTACTTGGAAGGCTGAGGCGGAAGGATCGCCGGAGCCCAGTAGGTCGAGGCTGCGGTGGCCGGGAGCGGCATTGCACTCCAGTCTAGGTGACAGAGTGAGACTCCAACTAAAAAAAAAAAAAAAAAAGAATAAACTAATTTTTCTCCTCTATGCCCTTTCCCCCATGCTCTAATGCTCTCTCACTTTAAGCATCTCTCCCTTGTTTTCAAGTACCTACTTATTTTGCTTCTTCTTTTTTTTTTTTGAGTTGAGTCTCACTCTGTCGCCCAGCCTGGAGTGCAGTGGCACGCTCCCAGCCACCGCAGCCTCGACCTGCTGGGCTCCGGCAATCCTTCCGCCTTAGTCTTCCAAGTAACTGGAACTACAGGCGTGCGCTACCTTGCCCGGTTAATTTTTTTTTTTTTTACTTATTGTAGAGATGAGTTCTCGCCAAGTTGCCCAGGTGGGTCTCAAACTCTCGGGCTCAGGCAATTCACTCACCTCGGCCTCCCGGGACGTGGGATTACAGGCTGAGCCACCGAGCCCGGCTCCTATTTTGCTTCTGTCACAGCATGTTAAGTATTGTCCTAATAGCTTTATTTTCTATCTATTAGATTAGAAACTTGAGAATAAGATTTACTTTTTTTTTTTTTTTTTGAGTTGGAGTCTCACTCTGACACCCAGACTGGAGTGCAGTGGCTGCTCCCGGCCACCGCAGCCTCAACCTGCTGGGCTCCGGCGATCCTTCTGCCTCAGCCTTCCAAGTGGCCGGAAAGGATTTACTTTTTTCATGCTCAGTGTCTTGCATAGGTCCTAGAAGGTAGTAAGTAAGTACTCAGATAGTTGCTAAATTAAAAACAATAGGGAAAAAAATATTTAAACACGTCAAACGCTTCTCTGATCAACCCTAGTCACCTTACTAATTAAGAAAATCTGAGGACCGAGCATGGTGGCTCATGCCTGTAATACCAGCACTTTGGGAGGCTGAGGTGGGAAGATCACTTGAGGCCAGGAGTTCGAAACCAGCCTGGACAGCAAAGCAAAACCTTGTCTCTACAAGAAATAGAAAAATTAGCCAGGTGTGGTGGCACATGCCTATAGTCCCAGCTACTCGGGAGGCTGAGGCAGGAGGATCACTTGAGCCCAGGAGTTCAAGGCTGCGGTGAGCTGTGATTATGCCACTGCACTCCAGCCTGGGTGACAAAGTGAGACCCTGTCTGAAAAAAAGAAAGAAAGAAAATCTGAGGCTCAGAGAAGTTAGATGACTTGCTCAAGGTCACAGCCATAGTAAGTAGTGAAGCGAAGTTTTCAACCAAGGCTCCCTAGCCTCCTAGACAGGCACATTTTCCTGTATTTTTGAGCTCCCCACAAAACGTTTTTTCAGAGTAGATGATCAATAAACATCTACTACTTTCATGTTTACCTTCACTTTCACCTAGACCTAAGGGAGTTTCTGTTGCTTTACCACACATTACATTAAAACATCTGAAAAGACTTCAGGAACCAGGTTCGGTGGCTCAGCCTGTAATCCCAGCGCTTTGGGAAGCCAAAGTGAGTGGATTACCTGAGCCCACGGGTTCAAGACCCGCCTGGGCAACTTGGTGAGATCTCACCTCTACAATAAATCAAAAATTAGCTGGGCGTGGTAGTGCACGCCTGTAGTTCCAGCTACTTGGAAGGCTGAGGCGGAAGGATTGCTGGAGCCCAGCAGGTCGAGGCTGCGGTGGCCGGAAGCAGCCACTGCACTCCAGTCTGGGTGACAGAGTGAGACTCCAACTCAAAAAAAAAAAAAGAAAAGACTTCAGGAAATCACAGTATAAAATGAAAGTGATTTTCCTTATCTAAACTTGCTTTGTACCAAAAAAGATAAATAGAAAAGATAAACACACAAAAAAAAAAAAAAGAAGAAGAAGATCCAACTAATAGAAGACAAATGGAGAGGTAGTTTCTACGGATGCTACCACCTAAAAAGAAATGAATCTACAACAGTTAACATGTTAAGGGCAAGAATATTTAAGATAGCTGGGGCAGCCACTAACTTCCAAAGCAAAGTTCACTTCAGGTCTCTAGCCCAGTAAATTTTTCGTCTTTTTTCTCAAATATCCATCTTAAAAAGTAAATAATTCAGAATATCCCCACTGCCAACTTCCCAGCAGTCCTCAGATCTGAATCAATTTCAATTTCTGCCCTGGAATCAACAATTACTTCACCAAGCAAATATTTCTGGGTTATAGGGACTACTCTTTGAACAAATATTTTTTGAGCAGCAAGTGAGGGTACTACACTTTGCTAGGCTGGCAAGGAATACAAGAAGTAAAACTGTAATCTTTGTAAGCCATATATAAAAAGATTAAATACACACACATACACACACACAAACACACACGTGTAAAATAACTCAAAAGATGCCTAGAGGCAGGAATAGGCCGTGACTGCTATGAAAAACAATGTCCATTATCCAGTTTTTTAATGACTTGCTAAAATTATAAACTCTCCCATCCCTCCATGATTAGAGTCTTAGTTCTGTATCCTCCTAATCTTTTTTCTGCTGCTACTCTCTTTCTCCTTTAATTCCCAGAGAAGAGTATGCTAGAAGAACCGGAAGTGAATCTCAAGAGACGCAGCTGTTTCACACATGGGTGCTAAAGAATCTAGCAGTCCATCCTTACTTCATTCATTCATTCAACAAATAATTACTGAACACCTATGATGTGCCAAACATTGTGCTAGGAAAAGAGAAAACGGCAGACGGATATATAGCCCAGATGAGGTTAGATTATATATCCAATTATCGTGCAGCCTTCAGTCTAATAATGTGTATTTCACTTAACTGTACAGTTGAGAATTGACTTATCTCTAAAACAAACCCAGAGGACGTCATAATCCAAAGGGACTGCAGGAAATAAATATCCTCGTTTTTCATGGGGACACTGAAGCCCCAAAGTGACTTGCTCAAGGCACACTGTGCATCAGTGACAGACAGGGACTAGAACCCAGGTCTCCCAAAACTCCAATCAGTATCCCAGGTGCTACTCTCCCTGAGGGGAAACAGGTGGTGACAGAAGAATAGCAAATCCCATCAAATAAAGGTCAGGTGTCACTCTCCCCTTCCTCGAAAGTGGGGGAAGCCAACACCAAAACCGGGGTCGGGAGAGCCGGGAAGCTGCCGTTTCCCCACAGAAAGGCAGCCGCGCAGGCTAGCTACGAAACAGGCTCCCCGCCCGCAATTCCTTCCAGCTCCTCTCCCCGCCGCCCTCTCGGACTCCGACCCGGGACGCGGCCGGCGACCACACCAAAAGACTCCTTCACTCACAAGGACTCGCACCAGCAACGCCATGATCCTCAATAACCACTTCCGGGTGGAGAATGGGCTTCCGGAGTTCTCGCCGCCACCACCGTTCACAGCGTTGTCCTTCGACCGGCGGGAGCCGGCAAGGACGGCGCAGGCGCACAGAGGCCGTCGCGCGCGCGCGCGCGCGCGCGCGCACGCGCTCCTTCTGCCCTGAGCGGGGCGGCTGTGCGCGGGAGCTGACCGCCCGGTGTGTCTCGTCGCTCCCGCACGTCTCAGTGGCTCGCATCCCCCCCCACGCCCGCCTCTATGACTCGTAGCGACGGGACTTTCATATCCCTCTCCTTATTCTCCACCTCGTCAGCCTCACTTCTCTGCCCTCCTGCCGAGATTCCACCCCCACGAGGATCCCTTCCTTTTCAGTGCAGGTTTGAAAGAACAGGCTCTTGGAGCATCCCAATGCTTAAAAAGCGCCTGAGGAGGAGCTGAGACACGAGGAACCCAGGAGACCGCAGGGTCCTGAAATCTTGGGCAGAAGGCGGTCACATGCCGACCTGAAGCCTGTTAAAGAAAGGAACCCTTGGGTTTTGTGGCCGGTTGGTTGTTTAATGGGAACATCTTTGAATGTTAATAGAAAATGATTAGTAAAGATAAGATTACAAGCCGGGCTCGGTGGCTCAGACCGTAATCCCGCGCCTTGGGAGGCTGAGGTGAGCGGATGGCCTGAGCCCGCGGGTTCGAGACCCATCTGGGCAACTTGGTGAGACCTCATCTCTACGACAAATCAAAACATCAGCCGGGCGTGGTCGCGCGCGCCTGTAGTTCCGGCCACTCGGAAGGCTGAGGCGGAAGGATCGCCGGAGCCCAGCACGCGAGGCTGCGGTGGCCGGGAGCGGCCCCTGCACTCCAGTCTGGGCGACACAGTGAGACTCCAGCTCAAAAAAAGAAAAAAAAGATAAGGAGACAATAAAAGATGCAAGGAGTTTCTCGAGGAAGTGGCAGAGAGTGGCCTTGGCAGAGGACTGGATCTTCTTCCCAGCATCCCAAGACAAGTGGGGAAGATGCCGGTGCTCCAAAGGCTGATGAGCAGAAGGCAGGATGCTGAAGGGCGTCCTTTCTCTTTGCTCAGTCGGCGAAGACTGAGTCTTCCCTGTGTGCTGGACACACAGATATGGATAGTGGCTTCTTCATGGCGCTGTCAGATGAGCGGGGAAAGCGTAGAAGAGCGTAGAAAACCAGCAAAAAAATGCAAGACTGGAGAACAGGCGGTGACGTGTGGGATGAGATTTTAGTAAAGGGTGAGAAAGGGCCAAGGGGCGGTGACTTCACTCATGCTCCTTAAAATTTAAACTTAGCCGGGTTCGGTGGCTCAGCCTGTCATCCCGCGCCCATGGGAGGCGGAGGTGAGTGGATGGCCTGAGCCCGCGGGTTCGAGACCCGCCTGGGCAGCGAGACCTCATCTCTACAATAAGTCAAAAAATCAACCGGGCATGGTAGCGCATGCCTGTAGTTCCGGCTACTCGGAAGGCTGAGATGGAAGGATCGCCGGAGCCCAGCAGGTCGAGGCTGCGGTGGCCGGGAGCGGCCACTGCACTCCAGTCTGGGCGACAGAGTGAGACTCCGACTCAAAAAAAAACAAAACAAAAATTAAACTTATCTTTACTCATTGAAAAAATTGTATATATTATGTACAAAATGATGTTTTGAAATATGTGTACATTGTGGAATAACGAAGCCAGGCTAATATATGCATTACCTCACATCGATGTCATTTTTTGTGGTGAGAACACTTAAAATCGACTCTGTAAGTGATTTTCTTTCTTTTCTTTTTTTTTGAGTTGGAGTCTCACTCTGTCGCCCAGACTGGAGTGCAGTGGCCGCTCCCGGCCACCGCAGCCTCGACCTGCTGGGCTCCGGCGATCCTTCCGCCTCAGCCTTCCGAGGAGCCGGAACTACAGGCGCGCGCCACCACGCCGGGCTCATTTTGATTTATTGTAGAGATGAGGTCTCGCCAAGTTGCCCGGGCAGGTCTCGAACCCTCGGGCTCAGGCCATCCACTCACCTCAGCCTCCCAAAGGCGCGGGATTACAGGCTGAGCCACCGAGCCCGGTTTGTAAGTGATTTTCAAGTACACAGTACATTATTGTTAACTGTTGTTGTGCAATAGATCTCTTGAATTTATTTCTAAAGTGCTGGGATTATAGGCATAAGCCACCGAGCCCTGGCCACTTTATTTCTTCTAACTGAAATTTCGTATCCTTTGACCAACATCTCACCAACCCCCAGTAACCTGCATTCTATTCTCTCTATTTATTTTTTTAAATTATTATTATAAAGATGTGAGGTACAACTCATGATTGGGCACACAAGTGGACATTGTACAGGTAAAGATTGGGCCTCTCTTTGGTTCCCACTTTGCCAGGTTTGAGATCACATACCTTTATTGATGTTATGTGCCCCCAACCCCACCCCCACTGTCACCCTGGCAGTATCCCACTGCTGCCAATTCCTTTCTTGTAGTCTTATGGTAAATGTTCAGGGTCTGCTTATGAGTGAGAATATGTGGTACTCAGTTGTTTGTTTCTGTGATAGATCGCTGAGTATTATAGACTCTAAATCCATCCAAGTTGCTGCAAAGTCCATATGTTTGTCCTTTATGACTGTGTAATATTCCATCATGTATATGTACCACCTTTTTTTGTACAGTTCAGTTTCAGTGGGCAGCATGGTTGGTCCCAGGTTTTTGCTATTGTGCATAGTGCTGCAATAAACATGTGTATACAGGTATCTTTTTTGTAGAATGATTTGGGATCCCATTCTATTCTCTACTTCTATGAGTTCAACTTTTTTAGATTCCACTTATAAGTGAAATCATGTGGTATTTATCTTTCCATGCCTGACTCATTTCACTTAACATAATGTCCCCCAGGTTCATCCATGTTGTCACAGATGTAAGAATTTCCTTCTTTTTCAAGACTGAATAGTATTCCATTATGCATATAAACCACATTCTCTTTATTCATTCATCCATTAATGGATACTTGGGTTGATTCCATATCTTAGCTATTGTGAATAATGCTGCAATGAGCATGAAGGTGCAGATTACCTCTTCAACATACTGATTTCATTTCTTTTGAATATATACCCAGTAGTGAGAGAGATTGTTGGATCATACAGTCATTCTTTTAAAGGAAATTCCATACTGTTTTCCATAATGGCTGAAGTATGCAAATGCTCTATTTTCTCCACATCCTTACCAACACTTGTTATAATAGACATTCCAGGCCAGGAGCAGTGGTTCACACCTGTAATCTCAGCACTTTGGGAGGTTGAGACAGGAGGATTGCTTGGGCCCAGGAATTCAAAACCAGCCTGGGCGACATAGTGAGACTTGATCTCCACAAAAAATTTAAAAACTTAGTTGGGTACAGTGGCACATGCCTATAATCCCAGTTACTCAAGAGGCTAAGGTGAAATGAACACCTGAGCCTAGGAAGTCAAGGCTGCAGTGAGCCATGAGCCTGCCACTGCACTCCAGTCTGGGCGACAAAGTGAGAGTCTGACCAAAAAAAAAAAAAAAAGAAAGAAAGAAAGAAAGAGCCGGGCTCGGTGGCTCAGCCTGTAATCCTGCACCTTTGGGAGGTTGAGGTGAGTGGATTGCCTGAGCCCGCGGGTTCAAGACCCACCCAGGCAACTTGGCGAGACCTCATTTCTACAATAAATCAAAAATTAGCCGGACGTGGTAGCGCGCACCTGTAGTTCCAGCTACTTGGAAGGCTGAGGCAGAAGGATCGCCGGAGCCCAGCAGATCGAGGCTGCGGTGGCCGGGAGCGGCCACTGCACTCCAGTCTGGGCGACAGAGTGAGACTCCAACTCAAAAAAAAAGAAAGAAAGAAAGCAAGCAAGCTATTCTAACAGGTGTGAGGTGGTATCCCATTGTGGCTTTAATTTTATTTCCCTAGTGATTAATGATGTTGAGCATTTTTTTCTATTGGCTATGTGTGTCTTCTTTTGAGAAAGGTCTATTCAGATCCTTTGCCCATTTTTCAATCAGATTACTGTATATATTTTCGTGCAATTGAGTTATTTGCATTCCTTATATATTTTGGATATTAACCCCTTATCATATGAATGGTTTGCAAATATTTTCTCCCATTCCAAAGGCTCTGTCGATTGTTTCCTTTGCTGTCCAGAAGCTTTTTAGCTTGACGTAATCCCATTTGTCTATTTTTGCTTTTGTTGCCTATGCTTTTGGGGTCATGTTCAAAAACAATAATTTACCAGACCAATGTCACAGACAACTTTTTCTGTTTTCTTCTAGTAGTTTTATAATTTTAAATCTTACATGTTTAAATCTTTAGTGTATTTTGAGTAGTTTTTTTTAATATGCTGTAAGATAAGGATCAATTTCATCCTTCTGCATGTAGATATCCCATTGACCCAGCACTGTTTATTGAAGAGACTTTCCTTTCCCCATCTTGTGTTCTTTGCACCTTTGTCAAAAATTAATTGATCACAAATACATAGATTTACTTATGGATTCTCTATTTTGCTCCATTGGTCCATGTGTCTGTATATACACTAATCTTATCAGTAAATTTGGGGGCATGGGAAGGGAAAGAAGATTCCAGGACAAGAGTCCTGAGGTGAGAAAGAAGAGTCCATATTTCAAGAATTCAGAGAAGACCAGTATGGTCTTGAAAATAATTAAAGAGAGAATTTTAAAAGATAGGCAGAGCTAAATTTTGCAAGAGCTTCTAGTCTGGATTTTATTCTAGATTTAGAAGGAAGCCATTAGAGGATATTAAGCAAGAAGGGCTAGCTAACTCTGTTTAAGAAGGTGACGTTAGGCTGGGCTCAGTGGCTCAGGCTGTAATCCCATGCTTTGGAAGGCCAAGGTGAGGGGATTGCCTGAGCCCACGGGTTCGAGACCTGCCTGGGCAACTTGGCAAGGCCTTGTCTCTACAATAAGTCAAAAAATTAGCTGGGCGTGGTAGTGCACACCTGTAGTTCCAGCTACTTGGAAGGCTGAGCGGAAGGATTGCTGGAGCCCAGCAAGCGAAAGGACCGCTGGAGCCCAGCAGATAG